GTGGTTCTCTCACCCATAATCTTAACACGGACTTTGGTGGCCCCATGAGGGATAACGCTCCCCATCACCACGATGGTATCCCCAAGCACCCTGGCTGCTCACGCTGTCCCCCCTCCTCCTGCCTCACTCACCCTCTGAACTCCCTTAGACCCCCCCAAATGGTCCTTTTTACGTACTGCAGCCTGTGAGGAGCAGTCACATGCTTAACACTTTCAGCCTTCCAAGTCGGATCACTCTGATGTGCAGGAGGTTAGAGAACTCCGTCTAACGGTCTCTTCTAGTGCGTGAGAAAGTGGGCTGGTTTTGGCTGAGACAGACTTAAATCGGCTGTGTGGTGCTTATTGCTGGATGGGATTAAACCATGACAGAAAGTTAGCCAAGATGGTCATGATGGTGAGGCAGCTTAGAGAGCAACGATTCGAAGTAAAAAGAGACCAAGGAAAACTTGTAATTTTCTGAAAGCATGTAGAAAGACAAAGGTCATCACTTTGGCCTCCACAAACCCATACGTGAAACTCAAAGCTATTAGTTCAAGTCCTCCAAAACCTCAGCAGTGTGCATCAGGAGAAGAAGGGATGAATCCAGCATTACTGCTGAGGAGAACAGCACTTGGGCTACCTTCATGGTTGGGAGGTGCTGGATCCAGCACAAGACCTGGGGCTGTGAGCGTTGGCTTTGCCTGGCAGAGCTCTCACACTCTCAAAGGCACAACATGCCCAGCTCTGCTTCCTGTAATTCACCCCCTCTCCTGTGACCATAAAACATGTTTGTTATTCTGACAAGAGGAGACATAATTTCATGATGTTGATCCTGGATTATCTCATGTGCTGGTCCCACCGCCCAGACTCACTAGCTACAAGAAGAAGACATCTTCATTCTCCTTGGCCAGACACCAAAAAAAAAGTCTTTCAGCAGAGATGCCCCAGAAAGGCAGAAGTTAACCAAATCAAGAGGCTGGGTACAGCTGTGCAGGTTGGTGAAGGATGGATCTGAAGGGCTCCACTGGCACCTGGTGCTGGAGCAACCCTGTGTCAAGCCTCATTCCGTAAAGAACTGCTCAGGGTGGAAACATGGTGAGGTCTCCAAGTCACCCACACCGTCGGCAGTGTCCCCCCACAATGACATGGCCCATGGCAAAACCACGGCATGACACATTCTCCTTCTCCAGCACGAGCCATTCATCTGTTAGCAACCAAAAATGCACCTCTTTGCAGCGCAGCAAAGGGCCACCCCACCGTAGGTGGTACCAGAGGTCTGGTAATCCCTCTCCTCCTTGAGAAAGGGCCCTTTCGTGCTTGACTGCAAGTGTATTTGGAAAGAAATCCCGTGGGATTTAATGCCTTTCTGCAGGCTCAGGTTCAGAGCTGCAGGATGTTGCCAGTACCTCAGCTTCATTTGCTTTCCTTAAATGAAATTACCAGCTCTCTGTGCAGAGAAAAAACAAAATATGCTGTAAATGCAGGATAACAGCTCAACAGCTAGGAGCCAGCTCGAAAACATGAAAACCCTCCATTGCACTTACTGGATTTCGGGGCTGTGACTGGTGCGTTTCGACCAAAAACACTGCCCCTGTGGATTACACAAGGGCTCAGCACAAAAAGGCAGGGAGTGACCGACAATTATTTGCTGTAAAAATAAATAAAAGCTTCCTAAAAACACTGTCCCTGTAGAGACCACTGTGCAGCGGCGACAAGGACTATGTGCCACAGGGCACCAAGGGCTCACCCAGCCCCACAGGCCACGTGCCGACGGCTCCCGTCAAGCCGTAGCAAGTCACAGAATCATGGAATGGTTTGGGTTGGAAGGGACCTCAAAGATCATCTAGTTCCAACCCCCCTGCCATGGGCAGGGACACCCTCCACCACATGAGGTTGCTCAAAGCCTCATCCAACCTGGCCTTGAACACTTCCAAGGATGGGGCAGCCACAGCTTCTCTGGGCA